CTGACCTTTACCCACCTGCCCACGTCCCCTTCTCGGTCGCTGATCCCGCCAGCGTCCCCTCTCTAGGACGTTTGCAGGAGCCTCCCCAGGTCTCCCTGATCCACTCCTGCTTGTAAAATGCTCTGAACCTTTACTCTCCCCCTCAACCACCTTCTGTGACTCCCCACTGCCCTGGGAACAAAATCCATCCTTACCCAGGCCCATGGGGCCCCGAGGGACTATCCTCACCGTCGCCGGTATTCACTCAATGAATTTCTTAAACATACAGTGCCTGTGCCCATCCCCCGGCCCTGCTCACCTTTGGGGCTGCGCTCGCCCCGCCCCCCACCCCACCTTCGCTCACCTCCCTGCTCTGGCTCGCGGCCCCTCCTGATGAAGCACTCTCCCTCCCTCTCCTTCACCCTCTGGAATTTTACCCTCCTATCGCCTGGTTCTCCCCAGGGCTGGGCAGGGCGCCTGGACCCCCCGGGGCCCCGGGTTCACGTCAGTCTCCAGCGCTAGCCCGAGGCTCAGCAGAAACCCCAGAGTGTCTGTAAATACTCGGATGCCGCCCATTGCCTCTGACCCCAGCGCAGCCAGACCCAGCAGCAACCTGGGGCCTTCTGTGTTTGAATCCCTGCTCCAGCTCGGATGTGTCCTCAGAACCTCCTGTGGCCAGGACCAGATCCTGGAGACCCTCGAGAGGCTCCCTCGTCGTCCTCTGCCCGCATCTTTGAGGAAATGATACCATCAGATTTTCTTGGCATTCAGTTCCAAAGCTGCTGATGAAAAGTCAAAGCTTATTTTTTCCCCATGTGCAGGGCTGTGCACCCGCCTCCTCGCTCGGGTTTCAAAAGCGTTGCCTCACTGCCTTGTAAAACCTTGTAAAACCCTGTACCTGTTCGCGGGCCCCGTCCCTGCCTCACCCGCCCCTGGGAACCGCCCGTCTCCGTTCCGTCTCTGGATGTGCCTGCTCCGGACAGTTCATGTAGATGGAGTCACATAATACGTGGCCTTTTGCGTCTGGCCTCTTGGGTTCGGCGTCACATTTTCTGGGCGTGTGTGGCGCGGCGCACAGCAGTCCTTCATTCGCCTTTATGGCTGCGCGCCACTCCGCTGCACGGCGGACGGGAATGTTCGCTGGGTCGGCCTCTTGGCTCCTGTGACTCGCGCCGCCGTGAACGTGCATGCCGCGAACGCGCATCCCGTGAACGTGCCGGCCTGAACGTGCATATCGTGAACACGCCGCCGTGAACGTGCATGCCGTGAACACGCCGGCCTGAACGCGCTGCCGTGAACGCGCATACCATGACTGCCGCCGTGAACGTGCTGCCGTGAACGGGTACCGTGACTGCCGCCGTGAACGTGCTGCCCTGAACGTGCATACCGTGACTGCCGCTGTGAACGCGCATGCTGTGACTGTGCCGCCGTGACTGTGCCGCCGTGAACGTTCATACCGTGAACGTGCTGGCCTGAACGCGCATGCTGTGAACGTGCCGCTGGCAACGTGCCGCCGTGAACGCGCATGCCGTGAACACGCCGCCGTGAACGTGCCGGCCTGAACGTGCATACCGTGACTGTGCCGCCGTGAACGTGCTGCCGTGAACGTACATGCCGTGAACGTGCCGCCGGCAACGTGCCGCCGTGAACGCGCATGCCGTGAACACGCCGCCGTGAACGTGCCGGCCTGAACGTGCATACCGTGACTGTGCCGCCGTGAACATGCATGCTGTGAATACGCCGCCGTGAACGCGCATGCCCTGTTTTGTTGGAGCCAGTTTCTAGTTCCGGGTGGATGCTGGGACTGGACTCAGTGGGTCACGTGGTAATTCTATGTTTACATTTTTGAGGATCCACCAAACCCAGGATTCCTAACATTTGTTTTTTTTTCGAGTTGGCAGCAAGCGTGTCTCTGGTCGGGAGGGCAGCACGAGGCCCATCGGCATGTGAGGATGCTGGGCATGGGGCTGGTGGGGGGACCCCTTGGTGAGTGAGGGGCGGAGGCCCCAGCCCCGGGCTCCGGGGTGGGCACGGTGTCAGTCCCAGGGACCGGAAAGCCAGCCAGCGCTGGTGATTTAGGAAGGCTTCACCCTCCCTGGCCTCTGGTGCACAATGGTGAGCGTGTGTCAGGGGCCTGTTACCTCCAGGCGGCGTCTCGTTGGACATAGGAGGCTGGAAAATCTGTGGGTAAATGAGGCCTCGCGGCCGCCTTGCACAACTCAAAATTTAGTGGCAATTTGGAAGTTGCCCGTGGTGCCCTTGGAAGAGGCTCTGACCTCGGGAGCAGCTCCCGGCAGAAGTGATGGCTGCGTCTCCTCCAAGAGACTAGTAGCTGTTGAAAACCTGGAGAGAGGGGAATAGAATCTGCTTCGCTGCATTAGATGACCAGGGTCTGCAGACGTGGAGCCGAGCTGTCGCAGGAAGAATTTTAGAGCAGGGCTGGGTCCCGGCGGCCACCGCTGCCCTCTCTCCCAGGACCGGGCCTCTGGTTTCCGGCTGCAGAATGGATGTCTCGTGGCTCTTGCTGGGGCCCGGCAGGGCTACTCGTCTCCCATCAGAGCATCGCTGGTGACTGGGCTGCAGCTGCATCATTGACAGTCCTGGTGACATTAGCACTAGGAGTTCTGGCTTGCTGAGCACTTACTGTGTGCTGGGCGCTGCTGAGCGCCTGCCCTCCGCCACCTGGCCTTCCCTGGGGTCCTGGCAGGAGGACTTAGGTGGTCAGGATGTGGACAGGCGTCTTCATGTGCGTGGGTGCGCTTTTGTTCTTCCGATGCCTTCCTGTTTATTCCACGTTGTACTGGGTTTCTGTATACCTATGCTGGTAATAAGCTTCTCGTGTAAGTAAAGTTATGCCTAACTGAATGACAGTGACTTGCTTTGAAGAAACTTAAGTACACAGCAGGCCTGGGGCTAGATGGCCGTGGCCTTGGTAATCTCCATACCAAAAGTCCCTATGCAAGGGTGGCACATGAATGTCTGATGTTTAGGGAACAAGGCGTGTTTGGAGGTTCAGAGAGGGCAAGTGACTTGCCTAAAACCACACAGGATGGTGGAGCGGGACTTGTTTGCACGTCCACAGCAACTGCGCTGTGCATTCTGTGTCGCGCGGGGAGAGCCAGCAGGCAGCGCTGAGGTGGTGGCGGATGTGTCAGGCTGAGGTGGTGGCGGATGTGCCAGGCTGAGGTGGTGGCGGATGTGCCAGGCTTGGCTCTGGAATTCCTCGGCTATTCCGTGTCTGAAGGATGGACAGGGGCCAGCTGAAGGGTCGCCTCCTCTGTTACTCCTTCTCTCCCTGTGTGAGCCTCTTGGTGGCACGTGACAGAAACCCAGCTTGGGCTGCCGAAGACAAAACGTGCAGGAGGAGCATCCTGGCTCCCCTAATGAAGCGAGCAGGCTTCCGCCTGTCTCCGGCCGTGGCCGTCATGGGACACATCCCGCCCTTCCACGCTGCCTTCCTGCCAGGGGCGTGGGTCTCAGGCAGGCTCCTGCCGATGTTGGCCCCAGGGCTCCAGGCTTCCATCCCAGCTTAGATCCCTGGCAGAGAGCACTGTGCTTGTGGCTCCAGCAGCGAAAGTCTCAAGGTGGATTCTCATTGGCTCTGATTGGGTCACAGGCTCATTCCTGAGCCAGTCGCTGGCCTGGGAGCATGCAGGACTCTGGCCGCGACTGGGTCACATGACCATCCCTGGAGCCTGGGAAGGGAGGCAAGGTCAAGTCTACACTAGTGAGCGATGGGGTGGGCCTGGGCCGCCCACCTTTACCTTCCTCCATTGCCCCTCCACATAAAGCCCCAGGGCGTGTCTGCTTGAAGAAGGACCGTTACCCTCTCAGGTCAGGAGAGGGGGTGTTCTGATGAAATGCAGGGCTGGGTATACTGTTTTCCCTCCTGACCCCTGACCTCATGTGATGCAGCCTCAGTCCTCTGCCATTAGAGGCCCACATCCAGGCTCCGGGCCCTGTGCCGGGGTGCAGTTTCCTAAGCTCTGGGGGAAGGTGTGCAGTTGTGGGGGTGCTGCAGAGGTATTTGCGTGAGGCTGGACCTGATAGACACAGCTTTTCTGAGGGGCTGGTTCAGGGAGAGTGTGCAGGGGACTTGGTCTGGGATGGGACCCTGTTGTAACCCAGCAGGCAGAATGGGGCCGTGTCTGGCAGAAGAAGGGGAGCCTCGTTAGGGGCCTCAGGGATTTCCTGGCAAAGGCAGCTTCTGAGTAGGGGCCCCCGTGCCTCCCTGGCTGGGCTGTGTCTTTGCTGAAGGGCTGTTTTTCTATCTGCAAAGCTGCTGGCCCGCTTCCGTTATTCATCTGGCTTGGCCGTGCATAGATCCTCTCCCATGGAAGGCTCCAATACCTGGCCCAGGAGCCATTTGGGGCGCTTGTCCCAGGGGTGCAGGCCCCAGGGTTGTCACTCTGCCCTGGGCTCTTCCTGGTGCGGCCCTCCGTGTCCTAATCCCACCTCCTGGCTTGCGTCTGGCCAACCTCATACCGGTCCTGCCCGTGTCATGGTGTCAGCCTCCTGCACAGGGTCACAGCCTTGCCCGGGTCATGCTGTGGCCTGTGGCCCCGGCCCCTGCTGCCCAGGACAGCGGTATGTGCTGTCCCTGCTGGCCACCCCACTGGGACAGGTGATTTCCAGGAACTCTGCCCCGGGACTTAGAAACCCAGGGGCCTTGGAGTGAGGCTGGGGGGCCGAGGGGGGCGGGGAGCCATCTGGGTGGTGCTGAGGACAGCGCAGAGTGCCTGTGCCTGCAGGGAGGGCCTGGGTGGGGAGGGGCTGCTGGTCCCGTGCGTGGCGTGCGTGGCGTGCGTGGCGTGCGCGGCTCTGAGGGACCTTGGGCGCCAGGCCCGTCTCCTTGTGCTGCTGGCGGGCAGGTGAGTGTGGCAGCAGATGGAGGAGGTCCAGGCGGGCCCCTGGGTGCTCGTGTGTCCTCACAGGACCACAGGAACCCCTCGGGAGCCCGTGCACGGAGGAGCCAGCGGCCCCGAGGCTGATCTTGTTTTTCTTTTCTTGTTTTCTCGCAGGTGCCAGTGACGGGGTGGCCCGTGAACCGATGACGAGGACCGGCTTTTAACCCTTGGTGGCGATTAAGAGAAAGCACGTCGGGGCCTGGGAGCCCCTCCCCCACCGCCATGTCGGGGTCCACACAGCCTGTGGCGCAGACGTGGAGGGCCACCGAGCCCCGCTACCCGCCCCACGGCCTCTCCTACCCCGTGCAGATCGCCCGGACGCACACGGTAAGGGGGCGCGTGAGTGCGCCTGCTGGGGCCACCGTGAGACCTCCTTCCATTCTGCTGAGTCTCCACCCTTTCCTTTCTTCTGGGAGCCAGACCCGTGTGGCTCTGAGCCTCTAGGACAGAGGGGAGGCTTCCGAGGAGGCTCCTTGTGTCTGAAGCTTTTCCAGAGCATATGGTAAAATCTTTGCTCCCATTTTAAAGCTGGGAAGACGGAGGCCAGGGCCAGGCTGAGCTGGGCTCTGCCATCTCTTGACCGGCCATGGGATCGGCGTGTGAAAGAGGAGCCCTGCTCTATTCACTTTCCTGCAGCCCAGCCTCGCCTGCGTCCCCAGCCTGCCACGGGACTGGGCAGGATGGCAGTGGCTTCCGGGGGGCCACGGGGCCGGAGAGGTCATAGCTCCCCTCCCTGCCTGATCCTCCCGGTTCCGAGCGTGTGGTGAGGCTCAAGGCTCTGAGATGAGCAGGCGTCGCCCAGGTCGCGTCTCTGCCTCCCTGGCAGCAGGGCCCAGGGCGCGGGCTGTGTCTCTGGGGGGCCTGCCCGTGGCTGCGGCAGACGGACTGCCTGGGAGCAGGTGGGCCTCGGTGCCTGCCCACGCGTGTGCTCCCATCGGGTCTCCTAAGACGCCCCCTCCCTGCTCCACCTCCCAGCGGGGGCTCCGTTTCCTGCCTCATTTCTCACCGCATGAGTGAGACCAGGACGATGGGCCTCAGTTTTGTTCCTTTGGCATTTATGGGGTGCCTGCTGTATACCATGTCTCTGGTATTTGCCAAGCGGCGTTCAGAAGTGTGGGCCTCCCTTTGTGACCTTCTGGCTGCTCAGTGAGGGGCGTGAGGCCTGGAGGTCACAGCTGGAGTAGAAGCTGACTCTGCCGGCCACCGTGGGGGGTGCCCGTGTGCGTGCATGTGTCTGTCCTGCCTGGCCAGAGAGCAAGCTGTGCGGGAGGACATTTCCCTCAGCGAGCGAGAAGGGTTTGCATGTGAGCTCCCGGCCCTGCCTTGGCGAGTCCCAGACACAGTCGCCTCCTGTGGGCCTGGGGCCCTGGGACGCTTTGCAGAGCCAGCTGTCGTCAGCGGGTGCACTTTGGGTCCTCTTAGGGCGGCAAGTCCCTGGGGGGAGGGTCACGGCATCCTCCCGAGCAGCCCCATGACAGAGCGGCTTGCGCTGTCATCCCACTCTGCAGACGAGAACGCCGAGGCCCAGGGGCCGAAATCCCAGGCCTCAGGTGCGATCCCTCTGTGGGGAGGCTGCCTCGGCACTGGGGCTCCAAGCCTCTGTGCCCACCCCCAGCCTTCCCCAGGCCTTTATTTATTGAGCACCTACTGTGTGCCCAGGGCTGAAGCGTAGGCTCCCGGTGGGAAATGATTCTGTCTGTTGTCGTCATTGTCTTTTGTCACCACCAGCAAAAAGACGAGCTCTCATGAGCTGTGCCTGCTGCGGTCAGAGGCCGTTTAGAGCCCTGAGGGTGGATGGTTGTGCCCGGTCCCCTCGTCACCCCAGGGTGGGACTGTCACGCTCTGTATTTTGTGGATGGGACAATACTTCGAAGGGTGGGAAACTGCATGGTTTCGTAAGCTCAGGCCTCAGTTTCGTCACACATGAAGTGGGGTTACTGAGAGTCCCCGTCTCCTAGATTCTCACGAGGGGTAAAGGGGATCTTTGAACGTTCTTAAGACGGTGCCCGGCTCAGGACCCGCCCGGGCTGTCCGTTCGCTGGGGCCGTTCCTTGCTCTCGTTGCTGTTCCTGCAGCTGCCGGAGGGGAACCTGCCTGCCCGGGGGGCTGCTGGCTTCTGTGTGGTTTCTTGTCCTGTCTTGCCGGCGGTCCCCACTCTCCTCCACCCCCATCCTGCCCCTATCCTCAGGCTCCTGTGGGTCCAGTGCCCTCCCGCCTCCTCTCCTGCCCTTTGCTCCAGCCGGGCCCTCCTCCGGGCAGTTGGGATCACTGGCTGACCCTAGACACCTCCCATTCTTCTCCTGCTGGGCCATCAGTGACGCAGGACACGGCGGACAGCGTCAAGCGCTCACTGCCTCTTCCAGGCAGGAGCCTGAGGCCAGGGAGCGAGCAGGGCCCAGCCTGGCGGCCACAGGTGCCATCATTTCTGTCCTTGTGTGGGGACAGCCGGGGCCACCTGTGTGCTCCTCTCTGGGGGAGCTGCCCCATATCCAACCCTCTGGCCTCATGGTGGGGCTACCTACCAGGGACCCCTGCTTGTCTCTTGAAGGGCAGGAAGAAGAGTTCTGGGTAGTCCGGTGAGGGCCCTGTTGCCCTGGGCATAGGCGCAGGAGGGGAGCCGCTTTCTTGCTGCGGGTCGCAGGTGAGCTGGGGGCTGTGATCTCGAGGCCCCTCCTTGGCAGCCCCTCGGCCTCCACACCCTTCCTGTCCTTTTAATTGGCAAGACCCAGTCGGAAAGATGCCACCCTCTTCCTGAGCTCCTCGATCCTGGGAAGATGGAACAGAGAAAGGGGAAATCGAGCCACGGAGAGACAGATCCCCTGGGTGAGGGACAGTCGGTGGTGGGAACCTGGCGGTCCTGGTTCCTTCTGCAGTAACTGAGGCCGGTCTGCTGGGATCCAGGGGCCGCCTCAGTGACCCCGGATTCAGGTCACCCGCACACACACTCCCGACAGGCTTGCCTCCTGGGATTGGCTCTCCCGGCTGGAGAGTCTTCTTCCTGGCACTGCAGGCATGGGAAACCGGCCTTCCCTGCAGCCTGCAGGAACCTCAGGGTGGCTTCGAATCCCCCTCCATGTCCAGTTTGCCGAGTGGCACTGAGCCGCTTACAGCCACGCGGAACAGCCTCAGTTTCCCCCCCTGCAGTACCGGTGTCCTGGGGGGTCTGCACATCGGTGGTGGAGTCGGCACGAAGCAAGCCCGGGGTGGTCATCTCTTTCCTCCTGGAGGGGTGGCAGGAGACTCGAGCAGGGCCTCTTCCCCGTGGGGACCACAGGACCGTGGATGTGGAGCCCGAGCTGGATGGCACAGGCCGTGGAAGCCGCCGCCTCTGCCCGTGCTCTGCTCTGCGTCCTCAGTGGGCTGCTGCCGGGTGGCTCCCAGTGCAAACGGGAGGCTTCCCTTAGGGAGTGCTCGCAGACAGAGGCCTGACCCCCGAGACCATGGGAAGCCCCTGGGTTCCCTGCCGCAGCCTCGGCCACGCTCCAGGGCTCTGTGGGCATCACCCCGGCCCCCTTCCCACCTGCCGCACCCCTCTGTGCCCCGTTCCCTCCATCCTCAGGCCCAGCTTCCCTTCATGACAGCAGCAGGACCCCATGGGTCTCTCTCAGGGTGGGGAACTGAGGGTCTCCAGGGTTGCGGGTCCAGTAACAAAATGCTCACAACTGTTGTTTTCCCAGAAAGCCACGCATCCTCCTTTCCTGGCCTCCTTTAGGGCTTCCTGTGGCCCAGTTTGATTCTGCCTTCTTCTTCAAGTCCTCTGGGACCCCTGAATGCTCTTGAGCTCCTCCAGACCTTGGGCTGAATTGAATGCAGTTAAAAGCAGGGACATGGAGTCGGAATCCCAGCGTGACCCCTTTCTGCTGTGTGGCCTTGAGCAAGTTACTTAACCTCTCTGTACTGCAGTATTGAAGCATGGTTCATAGCACCGGTTCTGGGGCCATATTGCTTGCGTTTATGTCCTGCCCCAGTGGTATCCTAGCTGTGAAACCCAGAGCAGGTGGCCTTACCGCCCTGTGCCTCAGTTTCGTCATCAGTTGAGCAAGGGTGGTTTTAAGATTGTGAGGATGGAATTAGTTGATAGATGCAGAGCCCTTCAAACGGGGTAGGGACCGAGTAAGCAGACATTTGATATGATCAATTATGTGAGAATGATGCTGTTATTACAACATCACCTTTGTAGCCTCCTGTCTCACCCTGGTGGTCCACTTTGGGCTTTGCCCCTAGGGCAGGGGTAAGCACACCTTCGGTGTAAATATTTCAGGCATTTTGGGCTACCCCTCTTCCAGGCCCCTGCGGTGTGGAAGCTGCTGGGCCAGGAGTAAGGGAGTGGGCGTGGCCTGCGCCATGTCACTGGATACCGCTGGCCGGCCCGCTTTGGCGTTGGGCCCTAGTGTGCTGACTCTTGACCTAGATGAGCACTTATCAGATTCTGTGTGGGAAGGACCGATCTGTTTCATTTCCAGTTTGTCAGAGATCGATCCGGGGTCCCATTGCACAGATGCAGGGGCTCAGCCAGGCCCGGTCTGGTGGCATCAGAGCTGGTCATGCCCTTGGATGCCAGGGGTCTGCACGCCGTCATGTTCTGTGCCCACCTTGTTGGAACTGGCGAAGTCACAGACTTCTGGTGGAGCAGGACTGCCCTGCACCAAGACTCCCAGACCCCAGAGATTGCCTGGGCCAGGCCGGGGCAAGTGGGTGCATGGGGTTCTCTGGGAGAGACGACTGTGGGAGGCTTTATAGTGTCCTGAGTGCCCTGAGTTAGGGGTCCCTCTGTTAGCTTCATGGCCCCGCTTCCAGCTTAGTTCCTGGTGCTTGGTGATGGCTTTTAAGAGGCTGTGGAGGGATGATGTGGCCCTCAAAAGAGAGGCTGGTGGGAACTCCCATGCTGGGAGATCCATCTATCCCTCCCTCCCTCTCTCCCTCCATCTGGCAGATACTTAGCAGGCGTCTCGTACCCATCCTCTTCTGGGCTCTCGCAGTATAGCTGTGAACAGAACGGGTGTGTATGCCTGTCTCAGGGCACTGACCTCCTCATGGAGAAAGGCCATCTAGGAAGGAGACGAGAGGAAGGTTGGGGGAGCCCAGATTTAAGTAGAGGGGCAGGGAGGGCCCTCACTGAGAAGCTGCCTTTGGAGCTGAACTTGGAGCGAGGGAGAGGGCCAGGCATGTGGGAATCTGGCTGAGGAATGTTCCAGGCAGCAGGAAGAGCATGTGCAAAGGTCCTGAGGTGGGTGTTCTCTTGACAGTAGCTGCCATCATTCCAGAAGAGACCCATGAATCCAGAGTCTAGGACCAGGCTGAATTCTCCTTTGCTTTCAGTGTGCAGCCCCAAACATCCCCTTCTGGAGCCAGACTGCTTGTATGAACGTCCTGCTCCAGTGATGTCCTAGCTGTGAAATCTGGGGCAAGTAGCCTTACCACCCCGTGCCTCAGTTTCCCCATCAGTTGAGCAAGGATGGTTTTAAGATTGTGAGGATGGAGTTAGTTGATAGGTGCAGATGAAGGCGCTCCTAAGGAGCACCCCAGTAAGCAGGGCTCCTTCCGGAGTCGGGAGCTCTATCGGGGGCAGAGAGGGCACTCCTGTCCCGCCAAGGCGCTTCTCACAGCCGGCGCTCAGACATCCCCTGGACTCTAACCCCTTTCTCCTCGCTGTTTCCAGCCACTCCTCTCCACCCTCGGGGCCCAGCCAAGGAGGCACCAGCTGGGATTCCCTCCTGGGCGCATGGCTTTTCCAGGGGGCATGCCACTTTCCCCAGGAGTTTTAAAGGTGTAATTTATTGATTTATTGGTGGCCCTGATTTCCAGCTTCAGAGGTGCCCTGGCCGGGGAGAAGCCCTCCGAGGCGGTGGGGGGCGGGGGGCGGCGGGGACATCACCTGCGTTTTCCTGCCTCCCTTTCTGAGCAGCTGGGTCCGGCTCCCTCTCTGCGAGTCAGGTTCGCTGTTGTCCTCGAGAGACAGGTTCAGAGTCTGGGACCTGTCCCCTCTTGTCCCTCCTCAGAAAGTCAGCTTAGCTTTCGCCTTGCTTTTCAGAACGTATCCCCTTATTGCTGTGTGACTTGGACAAGCCACGTACCCTCTCTGTGCTTCTGTTTTTCATCTTTATGTGGGGCTACTTGTAATACCCCCTTACAGGGTTGCTGTATGGATGAAATTAATTAATATAGTTAAAGCATTTAGCTGCAGGTGCACACAGTAGGCAGTTTATTACTGTGGGGTATTATTATTGTTGTTTCTTATGATTACCGTTTCGTGTGGGGAGCTCTCCTGCTCGGAGGCATGGTGGGTGGTTTCCAGCTGGAGTGTATTCCAGCTCATGGGACCCCCCCCCACCAGGCCCACCTTGGGTCAGTTTCAGTTTCTCTTGTGGGGTCTCCCCAAGTCTTGCCTTCCCCTAGAGCTTCCGGGCACTCTCGTTGGGGGAGTCCTTGGGCTTAACCCTGGTGACCTGCTTCAAGCCCGGTGGTGGGGGCCCTTGCGGACCCTGGGCCTCCCGGGGTTTAGGGTCCGGTGACAAAATGCCCACACCTTCTGGGCGTAAACAGCCCCTAAGATGCTCCTCGGAGGATCTCCTAAATTGGGAAACTGAGGCAAAGGGTCCATGCAGAGGCCTGGGGCCTCCTCCACCACAGTTGGTGGCTGTGGGCGCCATCTGGCCGAGGCCCTCTCCCCAGGGACGGGACCGTCTGCCCTGCCTCTCTGCCCACTTGGTCTCGGTGTGGGCGAGCTGGGTGGAGCGGGTCCTCCTGGCAGTCTGTGAGGCTTGATGCGTTCTTCTCACACCTCTGTGTGTGTGGCGAGGTCTCTGCCTGGCAGCTGTGTCGTCGTCCGCCCAGTGGCCTCCTCCGCTCCTTTCCTCCAGTCCCTGTCTTCTCCCTTCTCCTCCCCTGGGAGCACCTGGCGTCTTGTGCTAGACAGGGTGGGATTCGGGAGGAGGCGCATGCCTTTGCTGCCTTCCAGAGGCTGCCCTCAGCCTTGGGGGAAGCCCCTCGGAGAGGTGAGGGAATTGAGTGTAGGAGGCGCAGGCCTCCTTTGATCTGGGCTGGACACCCATTTCAAAGAGGAGAAACTGAGGCCCAGAGGGTTCAAATAACAAAGACATACCTTCTGTTGGAGGCCTTACAGCTCTTGGTATCTACGTCGGACTGCCCAGGGAGGTCCCTTCCCTGTTTCCAGCTTCTGAGGCTGCTGGGTCCCCGTGGGTCCCCCTCCCTCATCCTCCCTGGCCCGGGCCCGGCTCTAGATGCGGATTTCGTTGGGTCTGCAGCGCCATCACACCTACCTGGCACTGTCTGATTCTCTTTGCAAAAAATAACTGCTTTGTTAAAAGCCAGACAACAAAAGAATGACTAGACTTTTATGGAAAATTGGGCAAAGTTTAAAAAGGTGCCAAGAAGAAACGAAGTCACCTGCTCTAAAGGTGACTTTACTCTCTGAAGCCGTACCTGTGTCAGACATCACTAGCTGATTGCTGCAGACAGCAAAGCTGAGTGTTCCAGGCCGACAGAACTAACTGATCGGGATTGGCGCAGGCGTGAACCCCGGCTCGTTTTGTTTGAGAGGCTTGTTACTGTTACTTTTTGTTCATTTGTTTTTGTTGGTGTTTTGTTTTTTTAAAACACAGTTTAATGTTTCTCAAATCTGAGCGTATTTGGTGATCGGGATGTATCTGATTTGTTGATGTCGAGCCCCCGCCCCACCAAAGATAACAAATAATGTGTTAAAAAAAAAAGTATCTGGACGCTTGTTAAGTAGGAATTCGTTTTGCGGGACAATTGTGCTATCAGTGTCAGGACTGTCACAATCGGGGAGAGAGTCTGGGCTCCGCTCCAGATCGTGCCAAGACAGCTGGGGCCTCACAGCCGCGTGCGGAGGGAGGGTCAGTGGCTGGAAGATGACTCTGAGGAGCGCTTGAGGGTGGGGGGCTCCTCTGAACCGACTTAGCAGGATTCCCGCAGCGGAGCAGAGCCCCGCAAGGCCAGGGTCGAGGCCCCGTGCAGAGAGGATGGGTCGGAGGAGCTTGACTCAGGTGGGGGCAAGGAGAGTCTTTGTCACATGGAGGGTGGCGTGGTATTAAAGGAGGCAGCTTTGCCTGAGGCTTACCCTCCTGGCTGGGACAGAGCCTTCCCTGCGGGATAGGCGTGGGGTCAGGGGGTGCTTGGTTCTGAAACCTGGCCTTGGCCTCACTGGCAGTCAGTGTTTGCCACCATCATTGCCACCGTGCATCCTTCCCCCGGTGAGTGGGGCCAGAGCCTCGTTCCCTCTCGTGGGCGTCACTTCCCCGCCAAGGACGGGGCGCTTCAGTTTCGCCTGTTTCTGGTTGTGGCTGCTGCCCGCGCGTCTGTGTCGCACACCGTGCTGCGCGTACGCGTCTGCAGTCCCGCCTTCCCAGGGCCGCATTTCCGAGCTTCAGCTCCTCAGGCCAGAGGGGCCCACTGCCTGACAGGGGTGGCATGGGGGGGAGGGTAAAGTGGAGACAGCCCCTCTCCTCTGCCTGGCCCCCCATCAATGCCAGCGTGGCCGGAACGGGTTTTGCAGGTGGATGGTTCCAGGCCTGCAGCAGCCTGTGGCCTCGGACGGCCCGTCAGCCCTTGCAGGCTCGGCGGTCTCATCTGGAAGGTGGGCGTGATCGTGGGTCCCCGAGAGGCTGTGTGGGAAGGGCGCAGCCCGGGGCCGTTCAGCCGGCTGTGTCCCTTCTCCTCCTTGGCTTCGGCCCAGGGGTAGCCTCTGGCCAGTCGGTCGCTGAAGTTCCCTGTGGGGCTGTGGGCTTGTCTGCCCAGGGCAGGAGAGAGGTGTGCACGGCCTTGCCCCGCCATGCCCGAGCCCACTGGCACTCACTGCTCCTCTGCTCCCTCCCGCAGGACGTCGGGCTCCTGGACTACCAGCACCACGCCCGCGACTACGCCTCCCACCTGTCGCCCGGCTCCATCATCCAGCCCCAGCGGCGGAGGCCGTCCCTGCTGTCCGAGTTCCAGCCTGGGAATGAACGGTGAGGAGAGGCGCGCTGCCTCTGCGTCCTGGGCGCGGGGGCTCCGTCTCGGGTAGAGAAGCAGAGGCCCGTGGCGGAGCAGGGGCACGAAGGGGCCTGTGAAAGAGGGGGTGCGGGGCCGCGGGCTCACCCTCGACCCGGTGTGGCCGTGACTCGGGCTGAGGATGGGGACCAGCAGGGAAGAGCCATGTGGCCCTCGGCTTGGACCTTCGGTGGCCTCTGTGGGTTTGGGCAGGAGGGGGGACCACCGAGCTGGGCAGCAGCAGGGCTGGGCCACTGTGGGAAGGTTCAAGTCCACACCCGGTGCCCCGGGACCCCTCCCCTCCCCTCCATTCCTCCGTCTTCTCCAGCTGGCAGGGGACGCTCTCCGGTGTGTGCCTGTGCTGGGCCAGCTGTGCTTTCCCTACTCCAGGTGGGAGGAGAGTGGAAAGCCAGGTGCGGGGTGGGAGGGAGGTGGGGGGGTGGGAGGGAGGTGGGGGCGGTGGGGGGGTGGGAGGGAGGTGGGGGCGGTGGGGGGGTGGGAGGGAGGTGGGGGCGGTGGGGGGGGGGGAGGGAGGTGGGGGGGTGGGAGGGAGGTCGGGAGGGCAGTTGGGGAACTACAGCCAGGGGAGGGCCAGGGCTGGGGCCGGAGCCAGCTCTCCGTGCACACATTTTAGGCCACGTTCTTTCTGCCGCCGTCTCCAGAAACTCCTGCTGGAGACCCTGAGGGGTGGGGCATTGCGCCCGTTTCTCAGATGGAGCAGCTGAGACTGCCAGGTTGAGGGGTGGGCCCTCGTTTACTCAGCCAGGACTAGAACTCGGGGCCCCGGGCCCCAGGCCCCAGCCCTTCACGACACCACAGAGGCGTCCCAGGGCCACGGCTGGTCCCCCGGGGCAGGCGGGGCTGCTGGACCGGGTGTGCGCTGGCGTCTGGAGGAGGAGGGAGGCCGAGGCAGCCTTTGGTGCCGGGATTGGTTTCCTGGGGCTGCTGTCACCACGTGCCACAAACTGGGTGGCTTCAAGCCACAGAAGTGCATTCCCGGGATCTGAATTCAGAGCATCTGCAGGGCCACGCCCCTCGGAACGCTCGAGGGGAGGACGCTTTTCTGTCCTACCAGCTTCTGATGGCCCCGGGTGTCCCCTGGCTGTGGCTGCTCGCTCCGATCTCGGCCTCCGCCTGCGCCTGTCTCCCACGGCCGCCTCCTCATCTGTCCCTGTGTCCCTGGTCCTGCTACAAGGACCGCAGTTGTCCTAATCCAGGATGGCCTCATCTTAATTCCATGTCAGTGACCCTAGGTCCAAAGAAGGTCTCATTTTGAGGTTCCAGCGGCCATGAATTTGGGAGTATGTCTCTCCGGCCACCGTGGCGCCTCTGTCGTGTTTAAGTGAAAACACCACCATGCGCTCTTGCCAAGCAAGCACCTCATGATGGCAAAGCCCTAGGTTCTGGGCCATGAAGAGGGGGTGTCTTGGGGCCCAGCTTTGGCGGGACAAGGACTTGAGGACCCGCCAGGGAGGTGTGCATAGAGAGGTGGCAGCCTCGCCCCCATGGGAGCAGCAACACAGCCCCAGCCCAGGCTGCAGTTGGCAGCATTCAGTCAGTCTACAGGCACTGATTGAACGCCTAACTGTGTGCCAGTCCCTGGGGGCAGCCACGAGCAAGACAGGTGAACCGCCCTGCCTCATTCTGGGGTGGGGGTGGGGGGTGGCCAGGAAACACCTGTGGCCACCAAGCACACGGGCAGGGCAGTGGAGAGAGGGCAGACGGGCGGGTGAGGTGGGGTCTGGCCTGGGCAGGGAGTCTCCATCTGCACCAAAACTTGAAGAGGAGGAGCCCACATGGGGGGCCTGCAGCCCCAATGCTCCAGGCGGAGCCCAGCAGGTGCGAAGGCCCTGGGGCAGGAGTGCAGCGGCGGGGTGGGGGGGTCAGCGAGGACCAGGCCAGGCAGGGCCCGTGCAGGAGGGGAATGGCCATGCATTCCCTGCTCAGCCTCTGGGAAAAACATTTTAGCAAGGGCCACGGTCAGGCTCTTGATGGTGGGTGATGGCTGGAGCCCGAGAGGTGGAGGCCAGGAGTCCCAGCTCTGTGGGGTGTGCCAAGTTAGGCAAGGCCACGCACTCTGTGGGCACACTTCGGAGGAGGGTTCAGGAGGGCCTGTCAGTGCGGAGTCCGGGCTGCTGGGCTGAGTTGAGAGGTGGCGGGGCCCGGTTCTACGGGAGGAGTTCTGCGATCGGCGGCGATGTCTGCGCGCGTGGGTAGGAGGGAAATGGTGTCACGGGTGCTGTTGTCTGCGTTAGGCCCACAGTGTCTCCCAGATGGGCCGTGCCTGTGAACCCCCGGGGATCTTGCTAAGATGCGGAGCCCGACTCAGTAGGTCTCGGGTGGGGCTGAGGATTCCGCATTTGTACCCAGCCCCAGGTGGGGACGGTGGGCTGGTGCACGGACTGCCCTGAGTGGCGAGGGAGGGACAGTCCCTCTGGGGCATTGCAGTGCCGCTGTGGCGCCCTCCCTCCCTGTACATGTCCTCGGTGAGCGCGGACCTGAAGGAAGGCAGTGCCGAATTGCGGTGCTGCCCTGCTGTGGGGCCGTGGGAGGTGGGCTTCCGTGAGCACCTTCCCGCAGGACCACACGGAGCGCGGCGCGAGTAGGGGCTCGGCGCGAGGCGGTCGGACCCCGGGCGTTCTCAGAGCCGCATTCTCCCTGTGACGCCGCCTGCCTCCCCTCCCACAGGTCCCAGGAGCTCCACCTGCGGCCAGAGTCCCACTCATACCTGCCCGAGCTGGGCAAGTCAGAGATGGAGTTCATTGAAAGCAAGCGCCCCCGGCTGGAGCTGCTGCCCGACCCCCTGCTGCGACCGTCACCCCTGCTGGCCGCGGGGCAGCCTGGGCGGTCCGAGGACCTCACCAAGGTAAGCCCGGGCCCCCAGCCGGGAGCTCCTCCGCTGCCTGAGCTGCTGCTGCTGGTTGGGCCAGGTGGGAGGTGGCGGGTGGGTGTGCAGGGAGGGCTAGCTTGGGCAGAGGCTTGGAGGTGGGCGAGCACTGGGTGCCCGGAGCTGGGTGGCAGGAGGAGGGCAGACAGCAGGTCTCTCTGGAGTTGCCTGAGCGTGGGAAGAAGTGGGGAAAGTGTTCCGCGGGGCCGAGCAGCAAGTGCAAAGGCCCTGGGGCAGGCACAGGCGTGTGGTCGGGGGCGGCTGGAGTAAGGGAGGGAGAGCTGAGAGGGGAGGGCCGGGGGCGCTGAGGAGCAGAGAGCTGCCCTCTGATGGGGGTCAGGACCGTCCTGTGGTCTATGTTCAGCTTTTAGCACATTCCGAGAGCTTCACTGAGGGTGGTGGCTTGGTTCTGTGCTTGCTTGGAACAGGGGGCTCAGTGACCCCTGCCTCCAGCCCTACATACCAGGCAGCCCCCTGGGCCTCGAACCCTGGCCTGTGAGGCGTTCAGTTCAGGGCTCTGCCAGGCCCCTGGGGCTTCTGGATTCTTAAGGGGCAGGGAGGGGAGACCCAGAGTTCCCCAGAGTGAGGTGGGCAAAGCTGGCTTAGCACTAAAGGGGTGGCGCTTGGTTAGGACATGGCCTGATCCCTAGAGCAACAAAGTCCCTTTCCACTGCCCAGGCTGGCTACTCCTCAGGGCGCCACGTGGCACCAGGCTGGCCGGGTCGAGTCTGCAGCCACCAGGCCTGAGGGACCATGGCTGAGCTTTGGGCAGGGGGAGCCAGACGACTTTAGGCTCGTCTGCCTCTCCACGTGGGGCTACCTGGCATTGCAGGTGGCCCCAGGCCTCACCGGGGCACTCACCCATCCCAGGGCCCTCCACCATCTGCCCTCAGGGGGCCCAGGCATGACTTCCACCACCCCCATCTCCACGGCTGTGCTGGCCTTGTGCGTCTCCGAGCCCCGTTTGTTCCTCGCCGATCTGGGGGCTTGTGTGCAGGGTGTCACCTGGTCATCTGCGTAGAGGGCTCGGCTGTGGGCCCCGTGCGTGGGAGCCACTTGGCACCCAGGAGCTTGCATGGGTGGTGGCCTGGCTGCAGGGCCACACTCGGCCTTCCGCTGGGGAGAGAGGGTGCCGCATGGATGTCCCTGGGACGTCCCTGGGGTGGGATTGGGCTGGGATGGCGGGGCACCCCTCCTGCTCTGCATGGCTGTGGCCCGCCATCTGCACACCTGCCAGGTGCCCTCAGGGTTGCCTGTTGGGCAGGGCAGGGAGGGGCTGGGGTGTCTGCGGGGGCGTTGGTTGGCTTGGCCTCCTGCTGCTGGGGCACCCCCCCACACCCACTTCCCTCACCAAGTTGTCACAGGAAGGTGGTCAGTTACTGAACTCCCGAGAGCCTGCTCCGGAGCCTCCCGGGCGGACGCAGCCACGTCTTTGCTGCCACTCGGCCTCCCCCTTGGCTGCCTCCTCCCTGGCTGCCTCCTCCCTGGCTGCCTCCCTGTTCTCCTGCCCATCAGCAGATTCTGACATCTCTGCCCTAAGATATCCCAGTTCCAGCCTCCAGCCCACACCTGAGGCCACCTGAGCTCCTCATTGCTCGCTGGGAACGTTGCAGTGGCCTCCTCCCTGGCGGCCTCCCCCCTGGCGGCCTCCTCCCGGATCTCCCTGCTGGGCCTCCCTCTTTCCCCGTCAGTTTTTCCTCCAAGCAGCAGCCAGAGGGCTCTTGTAAAGGCAGACACCTGTGTCACCCGGGGGGTGTCCCCCCATGTGTCCCCCTGTGCTCCCAAACCATCCGTGGCTCTTGTCTGCAGCAGGAAAAAGCCAAAATTCCTTGTCATGGCCTGCAGGTCTGGCATGATCCAGCCCCATCACCTCCCTGAGCTCATCTCCCTGCAGTCCTCTCAACCTGTCAGGTACAGCCTCCCAGGCCACTCTGGAGTTCCACAAACACGCCAGGCACATTCCTGCCTGGGGGCTTTGTGCTGGCTCTGCCCTCGGCTGGCGCACCCACCCCTCAGGAGCGCCCCACCCCTAAGGCGCATTCCTCCTTCCCCGCCTCCTTCGAGTCGAGGCTGCCCCCCAGGGTCTGTGTGGCAGGGAGACCTGTGGCCAGCCCTGTGAGGACCCTCGAGGCCGCTCATGGCTGAGGCTGCAGCTCCGCCTCATCTTCCTGGGGTGTAGGATTCAACCACAGCATCCCTGGTGACGTGAACAGGGTCTCTGCGACTTGGGGCTTGGGCCCCTGCCCTTGAGTCTGGGGCTTCTCCTTCGGGCCCTGCCCCCTTGGGGACCCGAGCCAGCATCTCTGCCCCTACCCAGGCCCGCCCTTCCATCGCGTCCCTCCTGCCCCTCCTCCCTCCTTTCTCACCTCCATCTCCCTCCGACTTCCCTCCCTTTCTTTCCACCCAAACAGCCCCCCTGTCCTGCTCACTCTCCTTCACCCCCTGCTTCCTTCCTCTTGTCACCTGTCCCTGCTCATCCACGGCGGCTCCTGCCCTACCGCAGAGCTGCCCAGCTGCGCCCAGCCCGTCTGCGTCTGCCTGTGGCCATCTGTCCTTACTCACCCCTCCCCCACCTCAGAGCTACCCTCACCCACGGGTTCTGCCTGCCTCCCTCTCCCGCCAGCGGCCTGGCCCCTCCCGCATCCATTCATCCCCCCATCTCCTTGCTTCCCCACCCCCCACCCCATCTGCCCCCGCTCCTTCCCCTTCTCCCCTGGAGTCCGGGGCCCTGTGAGCTGTCAGTTCATTGCAGAAACTCACATCCCACCGCCGGACAAGGGTACCTGGGGGTGCTTGGCCCGAGGCCCTCTTGGCTGGAGAGCGACGCTTCCCACGTGTGTGTGTCCAGCCTCGGGCCTGCCACGCCCCCAGTGCCCTGCACGGCCCATTGATTTTACTCCTCTTTCAAACAGAAAGTGGAACTCGACAGTGGCAGGGGGAGGCTGTGCAGAGATTAGGCACCTGTGGTATGCTGCCGTGGGAGTGCGCTGCCGTGGGAGTGGGCTGCCGTGGGAGTGCGCTGCCGTGGGAGCGGGCTGCCGTGGGAGTGGGCTGCCGTGGGAGTGCGCTGCCGTGGGAGCGGGCTGCCGTGGGAGTGCGCTGCCGTGGGAGTGGGCTGCCGTGGGAGTTTGTGGCTTTAGTAAAGCTCAGGGCAGCTCAGGGTGGAGGCGCTTTCTCTTTCCAGCTTCCACAGAGGACGCCGGTGGCAGGGCTGCTGGGGAGACCGCAGGCAGTGGCCCCAGAGGCTTCTGTCCCCCAGGGTCACTCAGCTGCCCAACCATGTCTGACTGCCCAGGCTGGGGTGGGGACCGTGGCCGGGTGGTGTCCTCATACTGTCGCGGCCGGGTGCCTGGCCAGCTGTGTGGCAGGCTCCTCCCTGCACGGCCCTGGGGCACCCGAAACTCCTTAGCAGCCTCTGGGCAAAGGCGATCCTCCTTCTGCAGCAGGAGTGGGGGTGGCGGTGGGCACTGGGAGCCAGGCAGGGGAGGGAGGTGGCCCACTCAGGCCTGCAGGGTCCCCTTCTCTGCCCGAGGAGGCCGATGGGATTGAATGGTGGACTTGGGGTAAGACAGGTCCTTTATCGGGAGGCTGGTGTGCAGGTGGCAAGAATGCTGACAGTGACGGCAGGTGACGTTCACTGAGTCACGCCGCGGCCAGCCTGTGTCATTCCCTGGTCTCTTCGCAGCCCCAGGAGGCTGGGTCGGTACCCGCTTTTGTAGAAGGCCCCAGCTGAGTGAGCCGAACGAGGGGGAACAGGATTCAGGCTCAGGCAGCTGGGAGTGCACCCCAGGCCTGCGTCCAGGCTGACCCGCTGCTCTGGGCCCCCTCTGGTCTCCCTGGCAGGTGCCCTCCTCCCTCTGCCCAGGACTCCCGTTAGCACTGGAAGCCGCTCTGTCCTCTGTTGTTGTTGTTATTGTCACAGAGGCAGGAGAGAGTTTTAGCTCAGCCTCCTGGGAGAGGCCTGGATGGATAGCAGGTCAGGGTGTGCGTGTGGTGTCTGTGTGTGTGTGTGTGTGTGTGTGTGTGTGTGTGCGCGCGCGCACGCGCGCGCGTGTGTCTGTGGTGTATCTGTGTGGTGTGTGTGTGTGCTGTGTGTGTGTGTGGTGTCTGTGTGGTGTATGTGTGCATGTGTGTGCAAGTGTGTGTGTCTGTGTGGTGTCTGTGTGTATCTTTGGTGTGTGTGTGTGTCTGTGGTGTGTGCGCGGGGTGTGTGTGTGTGTGTGTGCGCGCGTGTGTCTGTGGTGTATCTGTGTGGTGTGTGTGTGTGTGTGTGTGTGTGTATGTATAGGCAGCTCAGGGCCCAGTCTTGGAGGGTGACCAACCCGAGTGGGCTGTTGTCCCCCATGTGTGTGTTCTGTGTCTGCGCAGGGAGCAGGCCCTGGGGCTGTCTGCTGCCTGCCAGCCTCTCCAGCATGGCCGCGCCCTCGGGCCTGTGGGTTCGGACGGTCTCTGTCCCTTACCGCTGCTCTGCGGTTCTTTCTGCCTGCCTGGCTTTCCCCCGTGTCAGGAATCCCTCTGCCTGCGGTGCGCCCGCTGGGATGTCTCTTAGTCTCCGTGTCTGTCTCCGTCTGCGTCTCTGTCTCTCTGTCTCGTTCTCTGTGTCTCTGTCACCACGTGTCTGTCTTGCTGTCTATTTCTCTCTGTCTCTATCCGTGTCCGTTTCTGTTTCTCGACTTCTTTGTCTGTCTTTGTCTCTGTGTCTCTCTTTCTCCTCTCTGCTTGGACCACAAGGTGGGGGGTGTGACAGGGTTGGTGCTGGGGCCCAGCCAGCCTGGCCGCCGTAATTGCTCCGGGCTGTGAAGATATTTGGAAAGTGTGAGCAAGGGACCGTGCCTGGGAGAGTGTGCCCAGAAGCGTCTGCGTCTGCCGTGTGGAATTCGGCTGGGTGCCTGAGGCAGGAATTCGTTGGGATTTTTCTGTTCGCCCCTCTGCCCTGCCGCGTTCCTGTCTTCTGATGCTTCTCTGCCCCTCGGCTTCTG